CATTTTGTGTATTTTCATAAGGAACTCCTCTCCAATTAACCCCTACCAATGAATGCACCTCTGTTCTGGTCACTTAGTGCCACTCTGACAAGAAATATACCACAAATGCGATGGCCTTAACAAACAGGAGTTTATTTTCTCACAGTTTGGAGGCTTTAAGTCCAAGTTCAAAGTGCCAGGCTCTAGGTGCTGGGTGAAAGCCCCTCAACCTTGTGGTCCAGCTCTGCCTCCTGCTCCCGGCCCACTGGAGCTAGAGGCATTTCTTCACTCAACTGCTGGCTGCTGAGGCTGAGAAGCCCCAAGTTTGGCAAGTAAAAAGGCACAGTCCCGATATTGGAAAACCACATGCAGGCCCTTATAAGTCCTAAGGTCATCAGAGCATGGCAGGCTGCTGAACAACGATGGCTACACGGTCCAAGCATGCCATAAACTAGAGACCATTCCCCAAGGTTGCTGCTTATATACAGGAAGCAGAACACATTCCCTAAGGCAGCTACCGAGCTGCTCACAGTAGATTCCACCATGGAGTTGATTACCAGTCTCATCATGGGGAATACTACATCCAGCTGCTCAGCCATTCAACCAGGCTCAGCCAAGTTGACACACAAACTGAACTACCACAACCTCTTTTTGAAGATGTAGGAGCTTGGCAACATTACTCCTGCCTGATCAAATATATCATTTTGTCTCTCATCCATCCCTGTGGAGTCAAAGCTCCCAGTCATTTGGCTCCCTTATCCAGTACCCTCCCCAATCTGTACTGAATGTCAAACTTGTCCACCCTCTTTTGAAACCCCTTTGCTGGTATTTGTGGTTTGCTTCAAGATCTAACCCTATTGCACTTAAAAGAAAAATTCCCATTTTTGTATTATGATTTTGCTTCATCCCAGATATTCTTTTTCTAGTAAAATAAACTAACTTTTCCAAGCTCAACAAATACATAAATATCATTCAATACTGACCATACTTCACTTCACACACATAAATTAAGAACCTAATAGCTCGTTACAAAATGGCAGCATCAGACTCTGCCTAACTTCAGGAGAGAGAATCAACATCAGCTCAAACCTGATTCCCATGAGGTGGAGATCAGACATACTTCCATTCTAATTTTTGTCAGTCCTGACACCAGCTGTCCCTCCCACATCTCATTCTACTCTGCTAGGTTCAATAATTCATTGCAATGGCAACACGGAACTCACAGACTATACTCACAATTATGAGGTTTATTAGGGAAGTAACAGTTTACAATTCAGGATCAGGATCCACTTGGAAATAACAGGAACAACTCAGGATACAGATCTTCAATCAGAACAGCTTCTTTGGCTATGTCAGCAGCAGGTCTCTGCCACAGGCCCTACTCAGACCTGGCTCTTGTTGTTAGCCTTGGCTCTTGCTCTGAAACAGGCTTCTGGCTTTAGGTGTGGGCCTAGTCTCACTCTAGGCCCTGACTCTCAGGCAAGGGTCTAGGAGATTCTCAGCACTGGGACCCTGGGTCCAAAGGACAGGCTCCAGTCCCATATCTTCTTTTTGATATTAGTGAGGGCTCCCAACCTCTCAGCTTGGCTCACTTTACACCTAGAGGGATGGTGAAACTGACCAATCCCCTACAAAGTTTCCATGTACTTTATTTTGGATAATTCCATCCCTGCAAGGTTACCATGAACATTATTTGCATTAGTAGGCTCTTCATTTCCTTGGGTGGGCCACAAATACCTTATTTACATAATGCCACCCATTCATTTTGTGGAAATTATAAGATTGTGGCTAGAAGGGCCATATAATAAAAACTCACTGCACTGCACTTGTTCTAACAAGCCCCAATAAAGTTTGCATTATGGAAATTTTATTCTAAATAAATTACTAAGGGATTTTGCTGTGTCTTTATCAAGAACACAATTCTAGAACTGGCTGTCTACTGTCATTTTTCATATGAGATCTAGTTTATTTGGTTTATTAACAAACTTCTTCCTTCCATCTAATGGTCTCACACACTGTTCCATTCTTTTTTCTCTTCACTCAAATCCCTAAGTGGATCTTTGAAAGATCTAATCATTTTTCAAACTAACTGAAATATGTAGGCTTCTAATCTTTCTTGTCCTTCCATGAATAATAAATGAAAATTTCAAAACACAAATATTGGATAATATAAACAGACATTATACTAGATTTATCTATCTATCCATATATATGTATAATGGAAGATTAAAAAATAAATAAAACCTGATTTATATGTGTGTGTCCTAGTGGCACAGTGGTTAAGTGCTCAGGTGCTAACCGATATGTTGGATGTTGGAACCCACCAGCCACTTCATGGGAGAAGATACAGCAGTCTGCTTCCATAAAGATTTAAAGTCTTAAAACTCTATGGGGCAGTTCCACTTTCCTACGGGTCACTATCAGTTGGAATTTGACTTGATGACAATGAGTTTTAATGTGTGTATATATGTATGTGTATGATACATATACATCTCTGTGTATATAGTTGACATATTTGACCCCAAACGATAAAACGTAATGAAACAAAAATTTTAAGTTTGCCAAATATGAAAATTCTTTTCAAAATTTTACTCTTCTCCAACTTTACCAAGTTTTCAAAAAAAATTATGAAAATATATTAAAAAACACACAAGAGAAAACAGTTAAATATTTTAATGTACTGTTATATTTATTTCCATTAAAATACATTCACCGTATTTAAACCCCTACTATTTCTTGAACTGGCTATTCCTTCTATTGATATATAGCTATTCACCTCTCAGAGGTTAGCAATTTAAGAATAATTGTTATAACAATAATTTATTTAGATACTGATTTTCCCTGACCAGAGAATTACATAGGCAAAACTAAATTTATAATTACATTTTTTTGATACTTTATATTTTACTTTCTTATCCTAATATTTAGGTGCCTTTGTGGCATAGTGGTTAAGCGCTAGACTGCTAACTGGAAGACCAGCAGTCCATGACAGAAAGATGTGGCAGTCTGCTTCTGTAAAGATTTATAGCTTTACAAGCCCTTTGGGGCAGTTCTGTTCTTGTACGGTCACTATGAGTTGGAATTTGACTCCACAGCAATGTGTTTGGTTTTCAGTATCCTAATTTTATGGAAACTTGGATTTTTACACTGTAATCTTAGAATCTGTAAGTATTAAAAGTACATTTGGGTGAAACTGAAGCTTAAGTCATTATAACTGGTTGCTGTAGAGTCAATTATACTTTGTAGTCATCATATTTTGCAGTAAAGTATAAATCATTATACTTTATAGTAATTAAGGCATGTAATTTTCTATATACTTATGTAGTTCAAATTATATTAAGCATCTAAATGTCTTGTGTAAGTCTGTAAGTCTTAATTTTGTTTAAAGTTGTGTTATCAATAATCAGTGTCCATTAGTAAAATAAAGTTTATCTTAGAAAGTTATCTTAAGTTACAAAAATTTTAAGCCAGCTAAAATTTTAATTAACAAAATTTGGTGAGTTAAATTTACTCTTCTTAACATCTCCTCTTTTAATTTATTCTACATATATTCTTAGTAATAGTTTCTAGTTCCCATTACAGAGAGAATCCTGGACTGGGTTATACAGTACAGACTTCTATAATTAATTAGCTGTGTAACTTTTGGCAATTAAAGAAATTAATTTTTCAAGACTTCCTTTCCTCATCTATGAGGACCGTGAATAATATATATTATTCTTAAGGTCTTTTCCAGTTCTAACATACAGTAGTATAGAGTCAAACTATAGAAATTTGTACATTCATAAGCTACCGTTTAAAACTATTTCATTAAGAGCTTTCTAAGATGTTTCTGTTGTAAAACTGTGAATTATAATTTACTTTCTCCAGTCTTCTTATTAAGCTGTAATATATGCTTTTTTTTTATAAAAGTTTCTTAAAGTGTGTTGAAATAAGATCAAAACAATGACACTGTATATGAATATAATAAATACTATTGGTAATGATCATACAGTTTTTGTTAATATGGACACCTTTTTCCTACAATATAGCCTTGGAAACCCTTTGGGGCAGTTCTGTTCTTGTACAATCACTATGAGTTGGAATTTGACTCCATGGCAATGGGTTTGGTTTTCAGTCTTAAAGTCAATGTTTTTATTAAATGTGTAAACCTTGGATTGAATTTTCTATCTGGGATTTATTTAATATCTGACCTTTGAGAATAATTTTTTTCATATTTATATCATTTCAATAAAAAAGAGAAATCTTCATTTATTTTAAGAACATTAAATATAATGTATAAGTAAATATACTAATTAATTTTTGGTTTAAGGAAGAAGCAGCCTCAGATACAATGATATGTTCTCACTTAAGCTCTCCTTGCATGAGGGTGTGGTATTCTGAGCTTACTACATGTGATTGTTAAAATACAATATTCTTAACACTGGACCCAAATTAGACTAGTAGCAACATTACAACAATGCCATTACTAGAACAAAGGAATCAGAAAGAAAGGATAAGTGGGACTATGATGGGAAAATGAACAAAACTCAGCTACTAGCAACTTAAAGAATATCTATGGTAATTAATAGATTTAAAATCAATATAAGCTCTAAATTGATTAAATTTATTTTGGTTAACTTCTCAACTAAAGACCTTTAGTTATTGGTCTAATGCTTACAAGTGACACTAGAAAAATGGACTGAAATTTAGATTTATTCACATTTCTAGAATTTACTTGTTCAAATACGATTTCTCTTACTAAAATATGGTTTTATGACATGAAATTGTGAAACACAATCAAAAACAAAAACAATTTTTTTCTTTTTGAGAAGTCTGATCCAAATTTAATTTAAAATCTGAGGTAAGGTTAACTTCATAAAAATATAAAATCTGTTGTCAAGATGGAAATAAAATATTTTATAGATCCAACTGTAAAATTTGTGTTGTCACATTCTAAGAACACCAAGTATTTCTAACCTCCCTTGAAGAGTAAGTGGTAATTAAAAATCAAATAATATTTAAACAAAGCTTGGTTCTTCCATTTAGAGATTGGCATTCATTCCTATCCAGTGTTTGATTAACTGATGAGCAATAGCTCGGCTTGGTGGCACAAAGAATGCCTGCTGCTTCCCTTTGGTCAGAACATCCACGACCTAAAATGTACCATAATAAAATGCATTAGGATTTCATCATTATCATATTTAAATACTATTCTCACATTTATGCAGTTCAAACAAAATATGATTACTTTTACAGTAAATAACATTAGAAAGTGACAACATCCATATTCAACATGCCAAATTTACTACAGTATAAAAATATTTTCACTGTTTGAATGAGTTAGTAATTCAGCTTTTAAAATGATCCCAGAAAGGTATATTCCCTATACAAGTAAGATCAACAAAAAGCAAAATAAATATTTCACACTTAATTTCAAAGTAAAATTCAATTTTTGGGACACATTTTCTTTCATAAAATTGAAATAAAAATATGTTGTTATTGTTCTATGAGTCGGCCCTGACTCATAGTGACCCTATGGGCAACAGAATGAAACACTGTCTGCTCCTGTACCTGCCTCACAATCCTCGCTACACCTGAGTCCATCACTGTAGTCACTGTCTCAATCCATCTTGTTGAGGGTCTTCCCCCTTTTCGCTGACCCTCCACTTACCAAGCATGGACCCTTCTAACAACATGACCAAAGTAGGTGAGACGAAGTCTGGCCATTCTCCCTTCCAAGGAACATTCCAGTTGCAATTCTTCCAGAACAGATTTGTTCATTCTTCTGTCAGTCCATGGTACTTTCAGTATTCTTGGCCAACACTAAAAGGAGCTCTGGTGGCACTGTGGATAAGGAATTTGGCTGCTAATTGGAAGGTCAGCAGTTTGATTCCACCAGCTGTTCCACAGAAGGAAGATAGGGTAATCTACTTCCATAAAGATTTACAGCCTCGGAAACCCAAGGGGGGGTCGATATGAGTCGGAATCAATTCACTGGCCATCAGTTTGGCTTTTTTGGTTTCACCAACACAACTCAAAAGCATCAACTCTTCTTCAGTCTTCCTTACTCACTGTCCAACTTTCACATGCACATGAGGTGACTGAAAATGCCATGGCTTGGGTTAGGTGCACCTTAGTCTTCAGAGATCTTTGCTCTCCAGCACTTTAACAAGGTCTTTTGCAGCAGACTTGCCCTGTACGATATGATGTCTTCTGATGTCTTGACTGCTGTTTCCAATGGTGTTGATTGTGGAGGCAAGTAATATGAAGCATTTGACAACTTCAATCTTTTCCCCATTTATTGTGAGAAAAGACTGAAGTTGTCAAAGATTTCATATTACTTAGAAATCTTTCTACTTTTTAGGGTTGATAAAGTTAATTTTATTTAGGCAAAATCAGAAAGACCTTCATTGTTGTAAAAATTATCCATTTGTTTTTTACACAATTGCTTTAGTTATGCGAACGACAGACAAATCAATTATCTTTTATTACACTATTTAGGATGATGTTTTCAAAAGTTTTGTGAATGTATCTTGGTTATACAGTTATATCTTTTTAGTCCTTAAGTACATCTGACAATGAATTAGAACTTTAAAAAAATGTTTAAGCATTTTTACTGGTGTTTTTGAGAGCCATTTGTTTTAATGCTATAAATTAAAAAGATAAAATGTTTAAGTATAGTATTCATGTTTCTCATCTCTAAAAGAATGTTTACCTATTTTAAGTACATTGAAAGGCATTATCATTGATCTGAAGGAATGGTATTTTGGAATGAGAAAATGGCAAAAAAAATATATCATTACTAGACAAATCTCACAAAAGGAGTTAATAGAGGACACATTAATTAGTGAACAAATTCTCTTTATATATGAAAATAACAATTACATAGTAATCCATTCACAATTAAAAGGTCATGGCCACTCAATCAACTTGCTAAAAATATGCATCTCTCCCACATGCCCAAACTGATACAGTCAGAGAATAATCAATAGAAGACGGAAATTCAATTGCACTTTACCTGTTCTCTAGTGAACCAGCGAGCGTCCTCTATTTCATTCTTGTCAACTTTAATTTCTGTAGACACTGCCACAGCTAAGCAACCAATCATTAAGGAGGAGGGCATTGGCCATGGCTGACAAGAGACATACTGAACATGGCCAACTTTGACTCCACTTTCCTCTTCTACTTCTCTTCGAACAGCATCTTCTATCGTCTCTCCTAATCAAAAGGGGCAAAAGAACAAGTAGTTGATGAACATGCCCTGGTCATTTTGTGCTCTGAATGTTTCAAATGTGTGGAAATCAATTTGGACAGGAACTTAATTCAGAGAATCACAAAGCAGACACTAAAACCAGACTGGAATTCTAGAAAACATTATTAATTTTTTTAAAGTGTATGACTATAAACAGAATAGCACCACGTCAACAAGAAACTTTTCATTTCTTAAAGGTTCAAATTTATCAGTTATATTTAAAACAAAAAACAAAAACAGTAATGTCTCCAACTATCCAGCGCCTACTATTGACTAAGCACTATGAAGGCATTTTATATATTATCTTACTTATGTATCATCACTAAGCAGTTATAAATATCTGCAGTGTAGTGAATTACTTAGTATGGCTTTTCTACCCATAAGTCATTGTAAACTCAGTGGTGGGATTTGCTATGAGCAACTGAGGAGCTCCTGATTGCTAAAGTTGTCCACCTGGAGTATATCTGTTGGGAGTGGCACAAAACAATGTTCTGGGAGGTTCCCACTCTCTCTCAGGTGCTTAGAGTTCTGATGCTGTGATTGGCTAGTTTGGCCACTCTGCCAGGCTCAAAAGGAGGCCTCCTA